GTTATGATACCCAATTAAGTCTCGGGTTATGTAGTTTTTAAAATAGCTTGCGAATTAGTCTGACTGACCATTAAAAATTATTGTTAATATTAGACATATACAATGTGTCTTCATAATTGTACAACAATTTGCGGGAAAACAGAGAGTAAAAAGGTGATCAACATTTTATTTTTTTTGATTTGTACAGCCCTACCGGATGAACAGCTTAAGGCAGTTTTTAGGCCTTTTAGCCTGAAGGAAATTGTCGGAACCTTAAGCAAGGTTTCAAAGAGATGGTGTAACATTTTACAGACAGATGGTCTCTGGCATAGTCTACCAGCAACAGTAAGGCTTAGAGGTGATAGTGGGCAAATTCAGTAACACAAAACTCGCACATGAAAACACAGCAGTTGGAACAGCGGGACACAGCTGGGTCCTCAGTGTCGCAATGCTCACACACCTGTGGCTTTTTGGACGAAGACATGTTGCTGTCCTGCATGCTTAGCAAGGTCATGAAATTGTTCATCCAGAAATTGGGCTGCAGCTTGCCAACATCTCTGTCAGTAATCTATTTGAGAATATAAGAAATATATTGGAAACTGCAGCACATTTGCAATAATGGCGGGCTATCGATGTTGTCTGATATTCTTGGCTTGGCTACTTATCACAATTGTCCTACACTCTCTAAAACCTAACCGTGGTTTCGATAAGACGTCCTGCAGTATCGCTGTGTCGACGGGTTTGGATATTAAGCAGTATCCAACGCGAAATTCTGGTCCGACTCGGAGGTTCCTACGTGAAGCACTTGTGCCGCCATCTTTGAAATGTATGGCCGCATTGAAATTTACAAATATCACTGTCTGCGCAACTTACATGGTTCTGTTAGCAGGAGATATGCAGGAGAATCCAGGGCCGGTGACGGATGCTTGTGCTGTTTACACTAAAGGATGCCGAAAGAATCGGATGGCGATACAATGCGATTCATGCGACAAGTGGTTTCATACTAAGTGTATCAGTATGAAGAGAACGGAATATGATAAACTTTGCGAACCTTCTCTGGCTTGGGAATGCATAACTTGTTTATCACCTGGCTTTGATACAACGGTCCACAAGTCACATGAAACAACTAACACAGGAGTAAAAGAAGGAAAGCCCAGTGTAAGGATAAATAAAGATCTTCATGCAAATCTTAAGAAGAGAGGAATGAAATTTGCTCATGTAAATATTGCAACTTTGCCGGGACACTATGCCGACGCCGAAGTACTAATGGAGAAAGCAGCATTGGATGTGATTGCAGTGACAGAATCGCGTTTGGATTGTACATTGCTCGATAGTAAGATATGTCCTTCGGGTCATACTTGCTACAGAAAAGATAGAAATCGAAATGGAGGTGGTTACGCCGTTTTTGTAAGGAGCAAATGGCCAAGCAAGCGGAGAAGTGACTTAGAATCTAACTGTTTAGAAATAGTATGCGTAGAAATATGTCCAGAAAAGGCTAAGAACACGATATTTGCTGTGATGTATAAACCACCAAGTATGAATCAAGAGAAATTTATCTTAGGCCTGGAACAGGAGTTTCTCGCTAAATTGGACGACGAAATGGTAAAGGATTTGATCATTATGGGAGATTTCAACGCGGATGTTATTGCCCTGAAACCATGCAAACATACCAGAAAATTAATGCAAATGACTCGTCTCCATGGTCTGAGTCAACTCGTCAAAGAGCCCACACGCGTGACGGAATTCACAAGTACGGCAATTGATCTTGTGTTTGTTAATAACACTCACCGTATTGTCTCGCAAGTGATCATTCTGTTACTTTCGTAGTAAAGAAAGCCGGAGTTTGCAAAGCTCACGTGGAAATCCGCGACGTAAGATCTTTTAATCATTACAATAAAAACCATTTTCGGAGAGACATTGCTAGCGTTCCCTGGAGTGTTATAGAGTCTTTTGACGATATTAATGATGCTGTAGTCGCCTGGAATAATCTTTTCGTTGATGTTGCAAACCAGCATGCTCCTTTAAAGAGAATTAGAATAAAACATGCGTCTAAACCTTGGATCACTAATGATCTTAAAGAACTGATGGCTGAAAGAGACTATGCATTAAGAGTTGTGAAGAGAGATCTGGCAATCAGGAACAGTGGAATGAGTATCGTAGATTGAAAAACTTTACGAACAGGAAGATAAAATCAGCGGAGGCATTGCACTACAAAAATCTAATTGAGTCAGCTGAGAATCCTAAGGACATGTGGCGCTAGCTAAACTCCGTGATTGGTTCAAATAACCAGGGGGGCTCTCGTTTTCAAGTACATGACGGGAAACGTTTAGTATCGGAGCCAAAAAGCGTAGCAACAAAATTCAACAAGTTTTTGCTGTCATTGGCAGCAAAGTTGCTGGTCGATTGCACCCTGTGAGTAAGGACGCATGGAAGAAATATGAAACAGTGAAAGAAGCAAATAAGCAGAGTGATATCAAATCCACCTTGGACTTTCAACGGGTTGAACAGAACACTGTTCAAAGCATTTTGCATTCTTTGAAAGTTAATAAGGCAGCTGGACTTGACAGAATTCCAGCAAGGCTGCTAAAAGATGCTGAGACGGAGCTTGCTCCGTCAGTCACCTATCTTGTGAACAAATCAATTAGCGATGGTATTGTCCCTGATCTGTGGAAAGTTGCACGTGTTACTCCTTTATACAAGTCTGATGATAAACTGCAAGTTGAGAACTATCGGCCTATCTTTGTGTTGCCATTATTGAGTAAAGTCGTAGAAAGAGTGGTGCATTCCCAGTTGAATGCCCATCTACATCAGCTAGATTTTCTGTATCGACACCAGTGTGGCTTTAGGCGTGGGCATAGCATTGAACAAGCTATCACACAATTGAACAACTGGGTTCTTCAATCTATAGACAAAGGTAAAGTAACTGGTCTACTGTTTGTCGCTATCTCCAAGGCGTTTGACTCTCTGATCCACAAAGTGCTACTACGCAAGCTCAAGCATTTAGGACTGTCTGAAAGATCTTTAAGATGGTTCAGATCATATCTTGCTCATAGACAGCAAAGTGTTTTGATAAACGGAGAATTATCAGAGCCACATACCATCACACTTGGCGTGCCACAAGGCAGCATTTTGGGTCCCTTGCTATTTAATGTGTACATTAATAGCCTGCCAAATGCTATTAAAGAGACCTGGATGATTTTGTATGCAGATGATGCTGTTCTCTTTTGTGACGCATCAACACGTCAAGAACTTCAAATTGCTCTGGAACGTGAATTCACTGAAATTAGTAACTGGTACACTGATAACAGGTTGACTATAAATGTCAAGAAGACCAAATTTATGCTGGCAGGCAGTAAAAGGATGCTATCCTTATTTGAAGACTTTGAGTTGCAACCAAATGGTACACAAATCGATCCCGTGCAGTCATTCAAATATCTGAGAGTAACAACGGATGCAAAATGGAGCTGGAAGCCATATATCAGCAATTTGCTAAAATCAGAAATGGAAAAATTGCAAAGTTTTCAGAACAAATTTGCCAAGAAAATTAAATTAGGCAAGATGTCTTCTTCAGAAGCTCTGAAGTGTCTGAATTGGCTCCCTCTGGCTGGAAGAGGTCTATTTCATCGTTGTACCACCGTAGAAAATGCAATCAAAGGAGACATTCCGCAACATTTTGAAAGTTTTAAATCGACATTGAGAAGTTCGCATGGCTACAACACTAGAAATGGCTACCTACCTAGACTACCTAAACCTAAAACGGAATTCGGAAAGAGGGTGTCCTACTTCTGTTTTACAAATGACTGGATGTCCCTCCCAGTATTTTTAAGAAGGCCAATGCCATGCACAATTTTTAAGGAAAACCTTACAAGATTCTTAATGGATAAATATTTTAAATGATGGATAAAAATTTTTAGATATACGCCGTATATTTTATATTTTAGATCTGTGACATTTGAATTTCTTATTTTAGCTTTAATACTTTTTATTTTTTACGGAGGACCTCCCTGAAAACCACGTATTTACGTGACGGGCGCTTCCTCCTTAAAGATTGTTTATTATTATTATTATTATTATTATTACCTCTTGATAAATGGAACGTTTGTCATTTAACCAAAGCTCAGTTTCCGAACATTGTTTCACACCTCAGGGCTTTTTCGCATTTTTCAATGTCTTATGTCGACGTCAAAGTATCCCAGTCCAGGTTAAATGAGATACTAAAAAACAGTCTACGAGTGGCTCACCAGCTGACACACTTAGATTTAAGCGGTCAGCCAATACATACCTTAAATTTCTTACCAAACTTCAAAGTCTGAAGCTTTTGGTCTTGAAGTGCTAATTCTTAATGTCTGTTTATATATTGATGAAAATAGTTTCAGCGAGTCCATAATGAAACGAATGAGTAAAATTAACATTTTATCTGAACCGAACAAAGCTTTGTTCCAATGAAGCTGTTAAATTGGCAGTTTCTTTGCCTTCGTTGTTTTCGTTATGTGTAAAAGGAATACCGCTGTCACCGATTGATGTTAGATTTATTGTGGATAGGTGCAAAAATCTACAACTTATGGAAATGTCTCACAGCACCGATGAAAGAGACGACGAATGCCGTCATCTGGCGTCAGAATGTGATGTTTCCTTATTTATATACTAGAAGAGTTTATAAAAGACGTTGTAAGCTGCTTTGTAATTCCATAATTGAGTTATTTTACATGTATTAAAAAATTGCGCCAAACAATTGTTATGTTTGGATGTTATTATCAAACCGATTTGTCAAGTGCAATATTTAAATTATTAAATCACTTAACCAACTTGGCATAAATTGTAAAAGCCTCTTTGTCTATTTCTTTCAGCCACTACAACGGATGCTGATACCAGCATACCGTCGGAGAATTCTACCAAACACGTCAACGATTTGGGATTGTACTGTACCATAGCACAATCACTATCTGATGACCGAAAGCTAGAACTCCTAAAAAATTCTTGGACAGCACCTAGAAGCTACAATTTCCCTAAAACCCATTTTT